ACTTATCATTGAATACACCGAAAACTAGCGAAATGAAGAGAGACTTTATTCCGCGCTATTCAATAACTACGTATCCACTCATTACCATTTGTACAAAATATTTTGACTAAAAGCAAGTTCTTTTTGTATGAAGAAAGTGGTTGCTTTAAGTTTTATACTAAACAAAAATATTTAAATTTACTGTTCTAATTTATAGCTATTTTGACGTCTCCACAAGCTGGGGATTATCGAGAACATTTTTATTTTTCTTAAGAAACAGTAAGTACTTCTTATAGTTCTTTTAAGTGCTTAATATGCCTAATGCTACCCATTATTTATTGATAAGTTTTCGTAAATGCGTTCCCGCTGGTATGGGAGAAATAATCAAACATTTAAAAATTAAGAAGGTTGTTTGCAGGACTCGCAGTACTGTATGTGTGCACCGATCCTATGCATCTGCCCTGGTTTTTGATGCCCTTGATCTGCCATGGGTGGATGCGAATCTCACAACCGTCGCCACATGACTAATTGTGTTACTTACTATGTTTCAGTAAAATTTATTTTATTACATTACTGGCAAACATTGGGAATTTCAGGATACGTATTTCTGCCTTATTAGACGTCATTTGCTACAGTTACCCAACTCCAGTTTTGCGGCTGAAAATGCCGCCGCACTCCAGTTTCGAACCCGTGTCTCTCTGGTCAGAGGCAAACGTCCTAACCATTGAGCTACACACATACATACTTACAGTGTATGACTATAACTCGGTCATCCTGCTGTGGCTAGTGGATTTTGATTCGAATATTCACATCAAATTTTGCACTGAGTCTCCAAATCTAAATACCGATTGATTTACTCAGAGTAGCGATAAAGTTCTGAAGGGATTAAAAGTCATCAAGATAGACCGAATGGCCTGCTCGTCCTGCTGTACCTTGTGGTTCTATACAAAACCCTCGGAGGCAGTTGCATAAATGTAGAAATTATAATTTAGGTATTACCGACAAGGACACGGGACACTAGGATGGCCATTTCCATCTCATTAGCCGTCGTCAGCTAGAGGTATCCAACTCCAGTGTTGCCGCTGAAATAGGTGCCACAGACGAGTTTTGAACCCGCGGCTCTCCGGTTAGAGGCAAACGTCCTAACCATTGAGCTAAGGGTCTGCCTTCTTGTTGGAAGTACAGAGTAGTCGATAGTCGTACATCGGTTTGTTTCAGGATGTAACCATCCTGGTTGAAGCCATTGCACGCTTGGATCTCCAAGTGTGTTTTCGCAAGACGATTAATTGTAATGTTACTTACTAAGTATCAGTAACATATTTTTATGTTTTAGGTATTACCGACAAGGGCCTAGGACTCTATCTACTATAGGTATTATATGCATATATATACCTGGGTGACTAACAATAACGACAGAGGAGTCAGGAAGGACCATATCTGGCTTGTTAGCCATAGTCCGTTAGCCATATCCAACCTCAGGTTTTGCAGCAGCTGAAGTTAGAAACCACGTTTCTTGGTAATCGACGATGGCCACGTTTAACGCTCTAAACATTCAGTCATTGCTTGGCTATCCTCTTAATTGTGCTGAGGCAAAGATATGCTAATATGTTTTTGAATGCAAGACAATACTCGGGAGACAGATTATAGTATTTAGTAGTATGAAAATTAATACCGAGGGTTAAACGTTTTTCCATCCATCCATCACGAACGCGAAAAGGATTATCACCCAATTAGTATGCATTGTTTTTGTCTATCCCCTGTATTTACATAAATTAACTCCCTATTTCCTGGAAGGACTGCGTAAGCATTTTACTTTTAGTACTAAGTATGCTTGATTTCTCAAAATTTTGCTGTCTTTACATTCGTTAAGGCAACCTCACATTGGATCTAAGAAAAATCCTGATGATCATAACTCTTCGTGGTCGATATCGGACATCTCGTGTACTCTGAAAGCAGTGCTAATAAATATAGGACTTTCTTTTGAGTATTTAGTAAGACTTAATTCTCCGCAAAATATGCACGTACATTAAGGTTTAGCGCCTTCTCGTGGGAGATGTAATTGAACATATACGCACACACAAAATATGGAGACTAAGTGCAGTTTTGCGTAATCGCTTGTTTGAAAATATGATTATGGCCGGTGAATGAGTAATTAACCGTAAAGGCCAATATCTACCCGCCTATTGACTGTTGTTGAATTATTTCGTGGTAAACATTGCTACTTAAATCCTTTACGTAGCCCTTTCTACGTGAAATTATATTTACATGCACGGGTTTTAGCGCAAATTACACTAAGGTGTAAATTGGACTGGCCTAACTGTCTTATCATCCATAACTGCTCCATAGACAGTTGCGGACCGCTTGGTTAAAACAACTGAAGAATTTACTTTCTGTTTAATCCTTCTGTCCACCCTTTATGAAACGACTAATCTTCACTCAACGGATGTGAGAAGGGGAGTGTGTATATTGTTGGACTATTGATTTCGATTAAGTCCACTATATGCACCAAACATGTTGGTGTAGGAACGGTGACTGGAGATCAGGGGACGGATTTAAGTGATAGTAGGCGTAGC